GGGGGGTGCAGTGGGGAGCCGGGCTGGGCAGCCTCCGGGTTACCCCCCCCCAGCCGGAGCGGCGCTGAGGTCCTCACAGAGAGCGGAGAAACGGGGTTTTAGCATCAGATCGCATATTTCGGGTTTTTAGCAGCGGCCGGCGGCGCAGAGCTCCCTCTGCCCGGTGGAGGGGGGGGGACACATCGCCGCTGCCTCCGGAGCTCTCACCGCTCACACCGAGGTGGGGGGCGGCCCCCGAGGAGCGGGAGATGCGGGGCGATGCGGGGCGGTGCGGGGGCTGGGCACGGCCCCGGCCCGGAGGGAGCTGCCCCCGGGAACCGCAGCGTGCGGGTCCTGGTGCGGGTCCTGCTGCGGGCGGCACAGGGGTCAGTGCTGGCACCAGCGGTACTGGGCAGTGAGGGCTCTGCTGCTGCTGGGGACACTGCACCTTTAGAAGACTCTAAATGTCCGAATTGGTAAAAATACTTACTTTGGAGCCAGCTCTGGGATGCGGGTCTCAAGGTCTCAGTCTTACCCTATGAAATCTGTTTATCTTTCAACCCCCACGTTTCCTTATTTTTTCCAAATTCCCCTTCCTGCGTGGGGAGGGCTCGTCAGGTGATAGAATACTCGCCTGAATAACAATAAATTGTTGTGGGTTCTTCAAACAGTGACAAGCCCACGGACACCCCCTCAAATGAAGCCTTTGTCCTATCTTTGGTAGAAGTAACATGAATTTGCTCACATCCAGAAGGAGACAAGCCCATTTCTGCTGCTGCTGCTGCAGAAGGACGTTTTGGGAAGCAGGTACCCAGCGTGGCACTGGGATGTCTGCGAGTTCTGCTGCAGAGCAGGTGGGAAGAGCCCAGGACACCACCACCAGCCCCACCACGCACCCACTGCTCCTGCCACGCTGTGGAACAAGCCACTGGTAGCTCCTTGTTAAAAATTAAGCCTTTTGACACTTGGTCACAGCTGACCTCTAGCAGTGAAGAGCGAGTCACCACACTCCATTTAGTGATTTGAGGAAGAACACGCACCAACCTCTGCAAAAGCCCGAGAGCATCTTCCTCCTCTGGCCCAAGTCAGGCAGCCCCCGGGGCGAGCAACTTGTTTGCTGGCAACTTGTGGGCTTATTCTTCTTCCCTCCTCCTCCATCCATCAATGGCCCGAGGAGAGAGGAGCTGAGAACCCTCTCCCAGCTGCTGAGGCATCACAGCAACAAAAGAGATGAACAACAGAGAAATGGGCTGAGCTTGAGCTCACAGAACAAACGAACATTTCAACTTTACGGTTTAAAATCATTGCTTACATTTCCCTGCCAAGCCACCAGCTCTCTGTCACTTCTTAAAACTACACGGAAAAAAGTCAAAAGCCTCAGAAATTAATCTTTTCTCCTCAGCCTCTGTAACACCACGTGGTGTGCAGAGGAACTGGACCTCCCGTGGCAGGGGATAACCTTAGTAAAGGTGTAATTCCCAAGAAGTTTTGAAATCAAATTATTATGACCTGTGGATAAACACGAGATCAGGGAAATACACTGCTTGCAATTATCCTCGGAGGGATACTGGGAAATACAGGTTTGAGTAATCTACAAAGTGACAGAAATCAGATAAAGAGAAGCTCACTTCTAAATGTTTCAGTGCTGGGCTATTTGTTTAACTCAAAAAATCACTTCCTGGTAATTGTAAGTAAACAGAGGAACAGAAACATAATGACAGCAACAAGAAAAACAACAAAAAAAAAAGAGGTTGTTTGCTGTGAAATGCAGTGGTCCTTGACTAGAAGAAAGATTATTTCTTAGCAGACTTTATTCCCTGTGTTGGAACCACGACTAACATCAGCCCCCTGATATGGCCAAAGGCCAGCCCAGACCCACCAGCTGTGTGACTACTGAAAGCACAAATCAGTGCTGTTATTTAGACCACCAAAAGCACCAATTAATAGATCAAAATCTTTATAATTTCTTACCAGTGGGCAGTCTTACTTACCACTTCCCAAATATTAGATGGGAAAGTCTACAAATGTAACGTGGTGACAAAAGGTCCCATCTCACTGGGGTCAGAGGAGCGTTCCTCATCGGCCAGACGCGCTGCAGCAGGATGAAGGATGCACTCACAACCATCAGCTGGTTGTTTGCTTAGGCTTCTTTTTTTCTACATTTTAAAAATAGTAGTAAAACTATTGTTGCCTCCCTGCCTGGAGCTGGGGAGGCGTCTGTGTGGGCAGGGGGTGACAAGCCCAAAGGCAAGAGGCTCAGCCTGGTCCAAGCTCAGCGCTCCCACGCTGCAGCCCCGCTGGCAAGGGGTGACAGCAGGAGAGAGGGGTGACAGCAGGGCTGGGGGGGACATGAGGGGTGACAGCAGGGCTGGGGGGTGACACGAGGGGTGACCATGGGAGCCCGGGGTGACACCAGAGTGAGGGCTGACAGCCAGAGACAGGGATAATGGCAGGAGTGAGGGGTGATGGCAGTGAGAGGTGACAGCAGGACCGAAGGTGACAGGGAGGGAGGACAGCATCCCCACCGGAGCCAGGCCACGCTGGCTGCTGGAGCTCTGCTTTTCCCGGCGAGGGGCAGGGATGCCGAGGCCACTGCTGGAGAGGAGATGAAGCCCAGGTGGCATCGAGCATTCAGGTGATGGCCATGGCCAGGCAGGAGCCCCACCAGCAGGGTCTGGGTGATGCTGCAGACCCCAGCGGGGCGATGGGTGATGTCTGGGCCCCGCTGCCTCTGGAGCTGCACTTCGCGAAGGGAAAAGGGTCAGAGAAAGTTTTCACATTCTGGACTCACTCAGGATCTGCATCATGGTCATCTTCAGAGCAGGAGGTGGCCTCCCCTGGAGAGTGAAGTGGCATCTCTAATGCTCCTCACCACCAGCTGCTGCCTCCCTCTCCAGAACTCCCTTCATTCTGGTCGGGGGCTGCCCTGAACACGTCTGCCTCCTGCCCAGCCCTCACAGCAGTTTCCATAAGGGCAAGGGGTGTCTCTGTATTCCAGTGAGAAGTTCCCTGGGTCTGAGAAGTTCCCCGGGTCTGAGAAGTTCCCCGGGTCCTCGTGGAGCTTATTCCCATAGCAATCCTGCTCTCCCTCTGCTGACAAGCTTGTTACACACTCCTGTGAATAAAAGGGGACATCTACGGTCACATTAAAACCTGATGTGC